TTATATATGGAATAAAAACCCACTTCTGAATGAAACCTTTCATTCTTAGGTATTAATAATATCATATGCAGCTGGAACTTAAGTTCTACTTAATAATGACAGTAGACAAATCAGTAGCAATAGAATGCCAGGGTAGCTAACAATAATAAAGCAAAAACCTGCCACAAGAAGGATAAAATCTTCATTTCTCTCCCATTTAGGTTTTATAGTAATCTTGCAAAGCTGGGGGTTGATAAGAGATAATTAACTTTTTAGAAATGGAAATTTACTCCACTATAAAAGTAGATTTTTCTTTTTAAAAATATTTTATTTAAATTAAATCTGCCAACATATAGTATAACACCCAATGTTCATCTCATCATGTCCCCTCCTAAAAGTAGATTTTTTCAAATGAGGTGTCTAATACCCCCATTTTCTTATAACCCTCCTTTCTTTACTAGACATTCATTTTTTTATCCTTTTTCTGAACATTGCCTGCTTGCCTCTCCAGATCCACATCTATCCCTCCACTTGCTCTGTGTCCTGGAAAACTCACTTGTATGGATCATATCAATGAGCTCTTTTGGTCTTTAAGTCTTACTACATTTGGCCAATGAGAGGCAATAGCAGGAGACCCGTGGGAAGCAGGAAGATGAGGAGGAGGGGTTAGAAAAATGTTTGCGGAGGCTACAGGGTTAAAAGGGGGCCTTCCCCAAATAGCTACCTTCTCAGCTTCCGGGACCTCTCCCCTTCTTTGCCCCTTGCCCAGAGTTGATAACATCTCCCCACTTGCTGCTATCCTTTGCTCATATCCTCAAACCCTGCCCACCTTTGTATATAATTGCTTTATTAAGCTTTCCTCAAATTACCCACTTTGAGTGTGCTTATTGCCAAAACCCTAACAAATACAATTCTCCACCACCTTCAAAAGCTGCCAAAACCTTTGTATAAAAATTGCCCAATTAAATGGCATTGCCTACACCTTGACTTCTTCCTGCAGCACTGAACACCTGTTCCTTCTTCATACTCCTACTGCACTCAACAGACACTGAAAGACCTGTCAATTTTCTCTTCCCGCAGCTGCTCTTTAAACATGGTAATCTGCAAAGGTCCCTTCCTTAACTCTCCATATTTTTTCTACCAGGACCTTGCAACACATGATCACTATGTCAATGGCTTTCCAAAAGATCTTTCTAATCCTAGACCATCTTTCATACTCTACTGCTGTATTTTCAACTGCTAGTTTTATCTACATGTTCCTATATATCATATCAACTCTAAGTACCAAATTATCAAGGCATAGGAAACCAGTATTTCTCTCTAGCTTTCTCACTTCCCTGTATGGTACCACCAGTTTCTAAGTCCATTCCAATCCCCGATTAATTTCTAACAGTCCATCTCTTAAGTGGGTTTCATCTTTTTATTCCTTTTTCATTGCTAATACCACTCAACTGGATTCAGGATTAGCTCAAGTTTGGTAGTTGCATAAACTTTCAAACTGGTATTTTCCATAGTATCTAGCCTACAGTCTTAATCACTTTGTATCTCAGTATTCGTTGAGTTAGTGGATCAAAACAAATTATAAAGAAAGTGATATATAACTTTTATATAAAAATTTAGACAATTAAGGGAAACATGAAATATATGTTTACAAAGACAAATATGGAAAAAATACAATGCTCATATTTACAAGTATGCTTAGAGTATTGCTTGTATGCCAGGTACTATACTATATACTTATATATACATAAGCTCATTTAATTTTTATACACACAAACACACAAATACTTACAGAGGAGGTATTAATACACAAATATCACTGATGAGTCAATTAAGGTTCCAGGAAATGAAGTTCAAGTTTATAAAACTAGAAAGTAGAGGACTATAAAGTGAAAAATATGTCTGTCTATGTTATAATGTTTATTTTAACATGCATACCAAACCTGAATTTTCTATTTATCATCAAGCTTTAAGCAAAAGAATGTTTTGACTTACATAAATATTAAGTTCTATCTAAGTAAGACAGATTAGTCATATTAGATCTCCCTATCAAATTCTCTGCCTTTTCTGATATGTTAGCCTTAGCCTGGGAACTTGACATGAGGTAGGGAAGGAGGCAGGATGGAGGAAATAGTGTAAGAGAGCTGAGTCTTAATTCAAGTACCTTGTTCAGAAGGTGCTTTTAGAATCAAATGGAAAGCGTAAGTTGTCCAAAAATCAAATTGAAACCATGAGTTCTTCAGAAAGGACACTAAGCAAGCAAACTGTAGGGCCCAACAGCAGCTAAGCTAAGTTTTTACAGTGAGTTTTTACTACGACAGTAGCCACTATATACACCAACCCTAAGGGACAGCAGCCTGTTTTGGAACCAGGGAGTAAGGATGGCAATTGGTATTTATTCGTTCATAACCCTGATTAAATATGTTTTTTTTTCCTCTATTTTAAAGTGTTTAATAGAAGTTCTCGGTTTAGATCAACTACAGTGGAAGGACTAGAGAGGGCAAACTAGTCTAAAAGTCATTCTCTATTACTGACAGGGTGTTTAAAATTATATGTGCTCCACTGATGGATTGAGATGTTATTGATGAAAACGTAATGTGAACATAAAGAGCAGAAAAAGATTGAGAACCATATACCTTGAGTAATGCTGACTGGATAGCTATTAAATAATGTTATTTTTCATTGAAACTTCACGAAATAAAATGACTCATTGGAGACAAACAATAGATATTTTCCAAAAATGGAGGGCACTGTTCATGGTTTTTCAAGAACATTATAAATGCCATAGCTATTTTTAAAAATAGGTCAATGATAAACATACAATTCTCTTAAGTATACCAGAGAGCCCACTTAGCTTAGTATTTTCTGCTTGACAGAGTAATAAGACATTGTTTATATAATAATGCACTAGTCATACTCTCAATATAGGTAATAAATCTATAGAACTATTTCCTTTTGTTCCAGTTCATCCTGACTTTTTATATAAAAACAGCAATGGGGGATGCCTGGGTGGCTTGGTCGTTAAGCATCTGCCTTTGGCCCAGGGCATGATTCTGGAGTCCCGGGATCGAGTCCCACATTGGGCTCACTGCATGGAGCCTGCTTCTCCCTCTGCCTGTGTCTCTGCCTCTCTGTGTCTCTCATGAGTAAATAAATAAAATCTTAAAAAAAAAACAACAACAAAACAGCAATGGTCCTTTTTAAAGCAAGGATATCCAAATTTTGGGATTGTGAACCTTATGAGTGAAGAAATGTTTTGAGAACACTTTCAATAAATATTTGTGTTCATTTGTAAATTGTAACAAATAGTGCTATACTAATACATAATGGATATGTGTAAAACTTACACAAAAAGAGAATTACAAAGTCTGGGAAAGAGATGAAACAGTTAAATATTTAAAAATATCCTATTTACTAATTTACAAAATGTCTTTTGGTTCGCTTAAAAAAAACCTTAAAAAAAACATAAAAACAGTAATGTAGATTTGAAGGTCTAATTCTAAGTTCATTTTCAGTAGCTTGTCCCATTGACCACATTAGCTCAAAACATGTGACAGAGACATGTAGAACCAGTGGAAAAAGTACATTGTTAGTGATGCCTACTAAATCATGATGGGGCACCTGGATGGCTCAGTGACTGAACATCTGCCTTTGGCTCAGGTCATGATCCCGGGATCCTGAGATTGAGTCCTGCATCAGGGTCCCCTCAGGGAGCCTGCTCCTCTCTCTACCTATGTCTCTGCCTCTCTCTGTGACTGTCATGAATAAATAAATGTCTTTAAAAAAAAATGCCATCACTTTCTCATTTACTTTAAAATATGTAATATTTGCCATTAAGGGTTTATGTTTCTTTTTTAAAAAAATACCTACATACATGTAAAAAGTACCTACACATAAGTCATTTGTCATCACAGATGATGACAAATTTTGGACCCTCTTATTTTCATTAAAAAAAAAAAAAGCACAACGCCTAAGTATGACAATTCTTGAAAATACTAATTTATGAAATAGTCAGACAACCTCTTTATGCTGTGAGATTGTCATTCCCTGGATTAAAAACAATGTTCCTTATGAAGGATCTACCATTTAGGATAATATCCATAAATCCACTCCTATGGACATGTGTAAAATGCAGTATGCATGATAACATGCTGAAAATGAACAGATGAGCGAGTTTGTCAGTGTCAATCCCTTGCTACTCAGACTTCCATTCTTCCCCAGGAAACACCTCGAGCTGACTCAGGCAGGCTGACACATGGACCTAAGGAGGGAGCCAGCATCAATCTGTGTATTAAATATTAGCAGGTATTAATTTTGTTATTCAGAAATAAGGAAATTACTATCTTAATAAACTAAAATTCTAATATTTTTTCCTGTCTCCAATGGCTTGTCTTGTATGTTCCATAGAGTGTCTGTCTACTTTGGAGACTTCTGCTTCAAAATACACAGTCTTAAGGATTTAAAAATTTCCAATTTCATGTTACCTCTGAAAAACAACCAGTTTGCTTCCTTCCTCCCTCAAGTAATTAATAATTTCAGACAATGCCAACAAAAATGGTTACTGCAAAATTTCTTATTTCTTTAGTGTCAAGGTTATTTGAGAAAATAATTATCATTACCAGTTTAAGGGAACAAAAATGTTCTTTAAAATAAGTAGCAATACTCTATCATTTACATAAATTATTCTGATAAACCATCAATGATGCTGAGTATCAAAATCTACCAGTTCCAGTATTATTGTAAAACAAGGTAGAGTTAAATGTATTTCGAATGATAAGACCATAGCTACCTTTCACTGCTTTACAGAAGAACAATAGTAAAGTTCAATAAAACACAGGTAATTATTTTTATTAGTAACAAGACTTAAATCAGCTTTAAAAGAGAAGAGGTGACTTCAAATACATGGTAACAGTCCTTTACAAAATTCATTTTTCTAGGAAAATCAGAGAGAATGGTAAGAGCCTTAAGAGCACCTAGCTACTCAATTGCAAGTCTGACATTTTATTTCAGGTGTGTCTTACCTTTGCTCCATGCTTATGTAGAACTTCCATGACGTCATTGTGAGCTCTTTCTGCTGCAACATGCAGGGGAGTCATGAAACTATGGAGAGAAGAAAAGGAAATTTCCTAACTTTTGTTGTATTTCCCCTTTAAGACCTGCTTCCTCTGCAATTACACTTACTCTTTATTCTTTTCATTAACATTTGCTCCTTTTCTAAGTAATAGTTCTGTCACTTGCTTTCGTTTGGGATGCAGGGAGGCCACAGCACAGTGCTGTAAAGTAAACACAGCTAAGTTAATAAACTTCTGTTGACAAGTAGACTTCAGAATTAAATAGCATCTGACGACTAGTTAGAACATTGTTCTGTCAAAACATACTTAAAGATATATTTTACATTATAGAGATCATAAAATTCTTCCTAAATACACTGGAAGTACAAGAAATAAACCTTCAAACTAAGGTGAAATGATTTTTGTTAAGCATTAAGAGAGACACTGTTTCTTTTTCTTTGGCCAATAAATAATTACCCAATCTATACTTATTTAAAGGTATCAGAATGCTGCCCCTCCAAAGCTACAAATATCTACACCTGAATTAGTCAATCCTTTGTTAAGTTGTCAGCCACATAAATCAAAAGTTCTCAAACTCTGCCCCAGAGCTACTTTAAGCACTATATAAGCCTAGATGCCCAGGTACAGGCAAGAAGGTAATAGACTTGAAGGAATTTAGTGGAAGATGTATTCTCAGAAATTTTATGTTTTATCCTACATTTATACAATTTTTGGTATTTTTTGTTTTATATTAATGTTTGTATTAAAATGTTAAGAGTAACAAACTACTTACTAATGAATACAACGAACACTCCAAAAAAGCAGGCCAGGCTTACTCTGTTGCTTCCAGTATCTCCTAGCATAATGCTGGAGAACTTGAATGTATCTGAACTCTAGTCTGAGAGCCATGTATTTATGTGTGCATATAGTGGCCCATTTAAGTTTGATGACTCTTTTAATGTCGTTTTCAGAAAGAACTGACCACAGCTTTACTTTTTTTCTGCTGAATATATGTGGGAATGTTAACTGAAGCATATTTATAGGGATCCCTGGGTGGCGCAGCGGTTTAGCGCCTGCCTTTGGCCCGCTAAAGGCGGGAGACCCAGGATCAAATGGGAGACCCAGGATCAAATCCCACGTCGGGCTCCCGGTGCATGGAGCCTGCTTCTCCCTCTGCCTATGTCTCTGCCTTCCTCTCTCTTTCTCTCTGTGTGTGTGTGTGTGTGTGTGTGACTATCATAAATAAATAAAAATTAAAAAAAAAACGTTTAAAAAAAAAGCATATTTATAGGTCTGTGATAGAGGCATCACGTATGTTTAAATTGTGAATTTTGGAATAATTCTACCAGCCCTACACCTGAAACTTAATGTGGTCAACGACAAGGAAAATAAGCTAATCTTTCTGAAAGGGCCTTAAAAGAAAAAACATGAATAGTTTAAAAAAGAATTTGTACAGTCTGGAGCAAAAATTTCATACTCATCGTTTTTCTATAATGAATGTACTAACTCTTTGGATAATGAATAATTCTTTGGATAATTGCTCCAAAGGATGATGCAAATACCACTGAAAATACTTTAATCTTTAATGGAAAACAAACAGTCTTTACCTAGCAACCATAAAAAAAAAAGATTCTAAGGGGAACATTACATCTTGTATTTTATGAAAGAATTGGCCACAAAAGTAGATTTGTTATAATATGGTTGGGTAAAAACACAGGTAAAAATAATTCCCAAATCAAGGGTGAGCAAATGTCTATTCTCTCACCCATGAAAGCAATTACCTCCTGAACCAAATTTAAAAGTCAATGCAACCAACATTAAAATGGAAATTTCAGACACTAAAAGTACTGTAAGGTTTCTGAAATGAAAATCACACTTTGTGCCTCCACTACTATTGCATACCTAAGGAATGGATTAACAGTAAAATCTTACCAGCGCAGTTTCATGAGACTGTGGTTGTTTGAAATTAATGATTTCCAAAGCGAGTGTTTTTTTAACTTTGGCTAGGTCTGCTTCTCTGGCTGCTTGTAGTAAAGAATGACCTTTAAATTCATCTGTTAAAGAAATAATAGTTGACATAAAAGATTTAAAATCTGTAAAAATCATTTTAGCATGATTATACATCAGAAAATTATTAATTTTACACATTGCTCTTATTTTACCAAAGCAGCAACAGATGATATGATGATAAATGTGCAAAGGATGTACAGTTAATGAAAAATTCTGAAAAATGAATGCTCTGAAATAAGACTGTTTTATACTCTCAGAGTTCATAAAGACACTCCAGATAAGTTTTAAAACAAGCAACCAAAAATGTCCATCAAATGGAAACCAGTTATAAACATATACACACTGGAATAGTTTAAAGCTCTTAATAAGAATGATAGGTCTGTACATAGTATCATGAAAGTATATATAATTAAAGGAAAATTGAAGTAGGAAAGACAAGCTGATCCAAATTTTTTGTATTGTTACTACTATTTCCACCACAACTAAATATAAGAAATGATACAAAAAAAAGGCACCTAGAGAAATACTCACCAAAGAATTAATAGCTTCAGCACAGAGAAGGGAAGAACTGAACTATGGGGGAAGTGCTAGAGTTTGATAATTTTCAAAGAACAATTAATATTTTATTATTTGTATAAGCAAGTAAGGGATTTTTTCAAGAGTGATTTCTAAATTAACAGTATAAATAAAAATCCAATACTCTAAATTAAAAACTTATGGTCATATTTTCTATTTTACAATTTTGGTATTTTGATATGATCACTTGCTAACAAAAAACTGAAAATTGTTCTAAAAAGATACAAATGATATGTAACATAATGGATGATGTAGCAATCCTTGGCCCACATAGGCCTTTGCACCTGCCTACTACTGAACTGTTTTCTTTTCCTCTCTCTCCTCTCCTAAGTTCCCCATCTCACTCCCCTCTGTCCCTCAAAAGACAGAGAAAGACACACACAGACACAGATATGCCTTAATAACTACTATTATTGTTCAATCTCAGTTTAGATATTCTGGATAAGTCTTCCTGATATTCCCCATTATTGGGCTAGGATTCCTTCTTATGAAGTCCACTGCACTTGCATTACCCTTATATCACAGGACATATCCCAGAACTTTATTTGCTATGGTGGTCCTCTCACTTAGCATATTGTTTGGCATATAGCACAGTGTGTATTCAATTTGTTGTGTGAATACTGAATACTTATAAAATAAGTCATGGCATGTTCTGGGAGAAAACCATTTTTATAACCTCTTGTTTAATGGTGCCTTATCATTGGTAAATTCCTTAAGTATAGGACTTTGAAACTTCAGAAACTCAAAGTCAGGGTCAAATGAAGTAAAAGTAAACCAGTATTTCCAAATAACAAAATTATAGATTTTCATTTTAATGATAAAATTAGGGATAAATCAAGAGGAAGAATTACAAACTGCCATATTAGGGAGCAGGATCCTGACAACTGTAAAGGAAAGCAATCTATTGAGAACTGATCTCAAACAAAAAGTATAGTTTTGCTTTGGACATCAGTCTAGAGAAATTTAAACTGAATTCAAATCATACTGGCTTTTTCTCTAATGACAAATGTTCTATGATTATCTAAATGATAAAAGCAATTCTAATATTTTTTTCAATTGCCCCTTTAAATTCAGGAAAGGGACTAAAAAAAATTAAATGGGCAAATTTATGATAAACATAAAGAATAAGACAGCAGTACTAAGGAAATCACAAAATTAGAATGTAATAATACAATTAAACAACATATTTTCTCAAATAACAAGAAGTAAAATATTCCTTATCTTTGCTCTTTAGAAAAAAAGTAAAGATTTCTGACCAAATTGACTTTCAAATTTAAAATATTTTATTGATATATACTCAATATTAAAAAAAGAGAGAATGGAAAATCTATCTACAATATAAAGGTCCCTCTAAATGCAAAGGTTAAAGGTTTGTTTTTTTAAACCTCAAGGAAGTACTTAAGCAGCTAAAAAGAAGGCAGTGAAACTGCAAATTTCTCAAACTTACTCTGAAAACTTAATATTTATAAAATGCCTTAAAGTTTCTCTTTAAAAAAAAAAGTTTCTCTTTTAAGACAAATGCATTTTGAAACAAGAATGAAAGCTACTTTTATTATTTTTACCTCTAGTATGTGCAGAATCCAAAATACCTGTTCATTTAACTTCATGGAAACAACACATTAAAAAAAAGAAGAGCAGGAAAAAACAGTGTGTAATGAAAATGCTGTAATGATGGGTATGATGAAAATATTGTTCTTCTTTGTTTTTGTATAATTTTCTTAAAAAGAATTGTGTCATTATGAAATGCCTAGTTAAGGCAGTGGTGATGAAAACCATAGTTAAGAGAAGTTCCAACTTTGTTAAATTCTTTTCTTCAAATAATTCCTTGATAGAATCTTATTTAATAAAATAAAAAATACTGAGGTTGAAAAATACTCTAATCAGGGAACTTCTTTCACAAAACTATACAAATTTCCATTAAATCATGTGTACCCTGGAACCAGATAGTCTAGTGAAATACACTATAAAAACTGATAACAATACTCATAATTGGCAAAATATTTAAAAGGAAAAAGAAGTTAAAGGTGACATGGGGGATAAAGCTGAGCCCAGGGGATAAACTAAAATAAGGAAATTAGAAAAAGATTTTTAAAAAGTTTTGAGTCAATAAACTTGCTGTGCATAGTGCACAACGCACTGTGCTGGGCTGAGGGTAGGTAGATAGATGGGCCCAAACACAAATAGCATCAGTACATTTTTATTAGGTAACAAAGCATTGTGCCGGGCTAAAAGACAATAATAAAATGAAAAGTTGGGCAGCCCCGGTGGGTCAGTGGTTTAGCGCCGCCTTCGGCCCATGGCATAATCCTGGAAACCCAGGATCAAATCCCACGTCAGGCTCCCTGCATGGAGCCTGCTTCCCCCTCTGCCTGTGTCTCTGCTGCTCGCTCTCTCTCTGTCTCTCATGAATAAATAAATAAGATCTTTTTTTTTTTAAAAAAAAGAAAAGTCTAAGAATTTAAATTTCATTGGGAAGGCAGAACTTAAACATAGAAGAATGAACTATATAATGCAAGATAACATATGACAAGGGTCATATGAGTGGAGGGAGAATAAAGGCATTTCTACAAGGATTCATTGCTAAGATATCTGCACAGTTATAATCTGGTTTGTGCTGGCCTGTAATCTAATTGATGTCATCTGTTCCAATATCAAAATAAGTTTAAATTTCTACTTGAACAAATGAAAATTACAACTCTTCCTGGTTTAACATAAACCACTTTAAAATCTGCTTAAGTTTGTTTGTTTATTTATTTATTTTTTAATCTGCTTAAGTTTAAATGACGTTTAGCATCATTTTGACTCTGCCTTTTTCTTAAGTATCATTTAAAGATTTTCCTCAGGCATAAGTCCAGTTACCTGATTCTTAGAATCCTGAAAGAGAATACCAACCAGGGGACCAGTTAGATATTATTACGTAGGTGATGTATAGTTTAATTTAAAATGACAATGCCCACATGTAGAATTAAATATATTTCAGTATCTGATATGATAACTAAACATAATATGGTATCCTGAATGAGATCCTGGAACAGAAGAAGGACTTAAGGTAAAAACTAAAGAAACCTGAGCAGAGTATGGTCTTTAGTTAATAATGTATCAATACTGGTTCATTAATTATGCAAGTGTATCTTACTAATAATATAAGATGTTAATAGGAGGGCAAACTGGCTATGGAGTATATGAGAACTCTACTATTTTTATAACTTCTCTGTAAATCTAAAACTAAACAAAAAGTTTACATAAAAAACATGCATATGTATATACAGGTAATATATATCAGCATTTAAGAATATTATTTCTGCCAAATCATAAAAAGGACCTTATTTAAATTGGGGCAATAACTGTGTCAGCCTGCAGGGCTTGGGAAACAGTAAGTGCTCAATAATGTTAGATATCAAATACTATTACCAATAGTACAAGAATATAAACTCTTGTGAGCTCAGAGCATTCTTTTCTGGTTTGTACACTGTTGTATTTTCAGTACCTGGCACACAGTAAGCATGGAATAAATGGTTATTGACTGACTCACCCTCATTAGCCTTAAAAGAAAAGTACATGATCAGAAATAAGGATTATAAACTAGTGTAAAAGAATGGAAAAGTATCACTTAAGTTGGACTAGACACCAGTTTAATAACTAAAAAAAATGAGATCTTCCAATTTACAATGAGCAATATTGAGTCTGGGATATAAATACATACAAGTCAATCTCTCTCGGAGCTCAGGAGTTGGAGCCATATCTACAGCACTTTTGCCATGGCAATTGACTAACGTAGGATCAGCACCATGGCTAAGTAACAAAGAGCAGACTTCCACACGATTCTTAGAAGCAGCCTCATGGAGTGGAGTAAACTGCCAGAGATCCATAGCATTAACACAAGCTCCATGCTGAATTGAGAAAAAAAGTTTTAGGTCAGTGATCATTTTGCTGGATGAAGTAAAACTCAGAAGACATTTATTTCACTGTATATTTCAGTTATGACTCTTGAAATGTCAGTAAGTATTTTGATTTAATTTCAGCTTTTAAAAACAATGTACAAAAAATTTACCAAAAAAAACCCAATTTACATTTAAAAAAATGTTAAGGCAACAGTAATATTTTTAAAAAACATTTTATTTTCTTAAAACTCTGGCCCACAAGTCATGTGAGAACTTATGACAAATTAGAAAAAAAGCAAGTAATATTTACTTTTTAAAAATTACTCTTACCTTTAATAGCAGTTCTGTGACTTCATAATGTCCATATGAACATGCATTATGAAGAGGCACGAGTCCACTAAAGGAAAAAAGGCCAATTAAATACTGCAATTTCAAATAATGTATAATCATTTATCCAAGAAGTATCAACCTTGGAAAGTTTTCTCAGTTCAGATGTCCAAGATTTTATTAGGATAAAAAAAACAGATTACATTATTGTAAACTAATGAATTTGGTTTATTAATAAAAGATGATCCTTATATACCAGATGAATGGGATAGCTATATTACTGGCTTACTGAAACTTTCAATTTGTTTTATCTCCCTTTCTGGAATGTAACTTGAGTTGAAAAACAATAAATGCAATTGGGAAAAGTGAATTGCATCAAATCATAGAATTGCAGTAAAATTTACTGATTTTAGACATTACCATGAGAAAGCCTCTTGAATAAGCAGAACACGAAAATGAAGCCAAAACAAACTTGCAAACATTCTTAAAATGCTACGTAGGCTGTAAAGAAATGGGATACGTGACTTTGTCTAGTGCGAACGAACTTTAGTGTTTCAGATGCTGAAAATAAAGCATAACGCTCCACCCGTGAAACGGTTAGGAAAAGTAAATGGATACACCTACCCTTTGTCTTTCGCGTGAACGTCAGCACCGTGCTGGAGAAGAAGCTGCACTATCCGAACTCTGTTGTAGCCTGCTGCTAGATGTAGAGGCGTAGACTAGAAAAGAATAAAAACATGACCCCTCTTGAAATAAACCACTCTTGCTCTGTCATCTCATCTGTGTTTACTTAGTCTGAAATACAATGAATGCTAACATACACAGAAAACATTGAGTCGAAGTGCCAGAAGATCACATTTCATAACTGGATGAGGGACAATTCATTTACCTCAGGTGTAAATTCTAACTTCAGTGCCGTTCATCTATTTCTCCTACTTGGTTTTTTTTTTTTTTAAGATTTTATTTATTTATTTATTCATGAGAGACATAAAGAGAGAGGCAGAGACACAGACAGAGGGAGAAGCAGGCTCCCCCAGGGAGCCCAATGTGGGACTCAATCCTAGGATCCTGGGATCACGACCTGAGCCCAAGGCAGACTCTCAACCATTGAGCCACCCAGGCATCCCTCCTACTTGGTTTTTTAAGGCTTTCACTAATGTAGCTCTATCCTACCTTCTCTACTTTATTTCTTACTTCTTTCCAACATGAACTATTCTCAGTGTTCTAAGAAGACCCGTTCATACTCCTCATAACCAAAAACATTGTACTTTATCCTACTTAAATCCTGCCCACTTTTCAAGTCTGAGCATTTAAATCCCAATGCTATCATAAGGCCTTCCCTAAAGAGATGGCTCTCAAAATATCTCTTGAATAAGGAGGTTGAAAAGCCTCTCTAAAGAACAATTTGAAGAAACTTTAGTGGCAACCAAAAGGACAATGCACCACATTTATTCCATGTGGCTGTTAGCAACGGATCAAAATTAATTTGCTGTATCGGATGCAATGACATATGACAAGACAGTATTTAATTTTTCTATTTTATGTACTATATATGCAGCATAAATACAAAATATGGTTTCTTCCCAACTAATTTCTGCCACATTAATTTGAACCAAGTTATTAAAAGGTTCTCTGCTGGGATCCCTGGGTGGCGCAGCGGTTTGGCGCCTGCCTTTGGCCCGGGGCGCGATCCTGGAGACCCGGGATCGAGTCCCGCGTCAGGCTCCCGGTGCATGGAGCCTGCTTTTCCCTCTGCCTGTGTCTCTGCCTCTCTCTCTCTCTCTGTGACTATCATGAATAAATAAAAATTAAAAAAAATAAAAATTTAAAAAAAAAAAAAAAGGTTCTCTGCTCATATCTAATATAATTAAAATAAGTAAACTTCTTACTTTTTTTAAAATGGAAATAACATTAATTAAAAGATTTTCTGTGACCACTGCAATTTTTCCACCTTTGCTCATTTATTTAAAGTTTAAATACTGTAACAGCTCTTCACACAGGGTCTAATATACCTTAATGTACTCTCATTTTTTCTGTTCATCTATTTGGGCCATGATATAAATATCATGTAAGATTTTCAATTTCTTTTCTTCATATACTATAAAAGGCAGGATACAAAAGAATCACTAAATACTATACTATCTAGTACTGCTTTCAAGGCACACCATACATTTTATATGTTCTGACAGCCTCTAAGTTTAGGAAATATTTTTGAGCAGTATACAGTTAATAATGAGGAGACCATGTAGATCAGAAGAGCATACCAAAGAGGAAGTCAGGAAACTTGATTATATTACTGGATCTTATGAAGCTGTTTAAGTCATATTACCTATACATCTCAGCCTCTTCATGTGTAAAATAGCATCCATCCTAGCTATCTAAAAAAATGTGCTACAAGAAGTTTTCTTCCAGATATAAACACTTCTCAAATGTAAAATACCATATAAAAATAGATGATTAAAATTTCTGTATCATTAAACAACTTGCCCATCCAAATTTCTGCTTTCAGACACATGTCGAATGTTACTGCAAATAATACTGCCAGGAAATATCAAGTTATTTTCAAAGCTGTTTTTCTCCCTCCTTAATATTTTAAAGATGTTCCTTAACTATCTTCTGGTTTGTATCATTTCAGACTAGAAATTTGCCAACATCCTTATGTTTGTTCTTTTGTACATGTGGCTTCTCTTCTGGGTACTTTAATATTTTTTCTCAATCCCTGGCTTAAATTGCTTAATTTGATTGTGAAGTACATCGGTATACCTCCTGCTGCTGCTGCTCCTTCTCCTCTTGTGATGCTTGGGGCTTGTTGGGCTTCTTAGATCTGTGGTTCATAGTTTTCACCAAATTTGGAATATATTCTATTATTTTTTCAAATATTTTTTTCTGCCCTCTCTCCCACCATTCTCTTTAGAGATTATGGTTGCTTTTAGAGTTTGTTCTTAAGCTTTGTTAAACAGAAACAGAGCAGTCTTTAGCCTAGGACTAATTTTCCCCTTCCAGTGGGGTATCACCCTTCTGAGTACCTATGATACCTAATGAGTCAGGAAGTTTGTCCACTCTGGCTGGTAGCAACAGAAACAATCACGGATGCCATGTGACTTGACTTGCCAGGGTTGTTCCCTCTAACGGTCTTTCAGTAGGTCTTTTTATCACCCTCTGTGGTTTCCTCAGACTCATGTTAATTAGTACTCAGTTGAAGACAGTCAGGGGGAGTTCCGCAGATCTCTGGAGCTGTCTTCTCTGTGCAGCTCTCTTTTCATGGCCCCTCAACCTGCTAACTCTTGCCACAATCTCACTAAACTCTGAATTTCACCTTCTCCTCTCAGGGAGACCAATGGGCTCCTCCTGGATTTCCTCTCTCCGATTTAAGGACTGGAAATGCTTCCTAGGCAGTAAGCTAGCACAATCACACAACTCAGCTTGTTTAATGTTTCTCTCTCAGGAATCACTACCATGTACTGTCAGATGTCCAATTTCTGAAAACCATTGTTTCATATATTTGTTTAGCTTTTAAAAAATTGTTTCAGGAGGGAAAGTAAAACTGTTTCTGTTACTCCATCTTAGCCCACCTTCAGGACTGAACTGGACTTCACACTCTAGTTGTGAAGCTTCCTCAAGAGACAATGAGTAGTTTGGATATCTGGTCAATAAGTCAGTAAGCTCTTTTATAGGACTTGGCTGACATTTAATATTACATGAAAAAAGTGACATCTTCATTACTGATGCACAAAAATATTTTCCTTTTTCATATTAAATATCTTTCACAAAGTCCCTAAACGGATGAATATATATACATACACTATTTATTCAGAAGGATAAAACATAAGAAAATATTTAGTTTCTGGGTTTTTAAAAATCACTGAGACTAAAAATTATTTATAATGCTTTGACAATGGTTATGTATTTACTTTCTAAGCTATTGTATTTAGATAAATTAGAAGACTCTGTAATTGACAAGGTAGGAAGTGATAGGAGGCTTGAAATAAAGCAGTTGTGAAAAAACAGGGTTGAGGAGTGAGTGCCAAAAACTGTTATAAAGCAGAACTGACAGGATCTGATAACTGACTGATGCAGGTGGTAAAGGGTATGGCAGTTCCAGTTTGGAAATGTCAGCAACAGATGGAAAGAAAGGAATGATATAGGTTGGAAAGGGGAAGGGAGGAGAGAAGAGGAAGCCAGACAGATTCTGAGGTTTGGGTTTATCGATATGGCAGTGATTATGGGACTAACTAGAATTCAGGAATAGTAAAGGCTGAACACTAATTTGGTTATCACTGGCATTCATATAAAATAATAGAGTATTAGGGTGCCTTGGTGGCACAGTCAGTTAAGTGCTTGGTTTCAGCTCATGTCATGTATCTCAGGGTCATGAGATCAAGCCCCACATTGAACTCTACACTCAGCACAGAGTCTGCTTAAGACCCTCCCCTATTCACCTTTTGCCCTCCCCCACCGCCCTGTGCTCTAAAATAAATAAATAAAATTTTAATAAAATAAAATATTTCAGCATCTGCTATGTGGCAGCACGTTAAGTGCTAGGGGTAGCATGGTAAGCAAGAAAGGCTCAATACTTTGCCTTTATGAGTTTTCTTATTCCTCCGAAACATAAGTCCCTAAATGAAATACATATATACTCATTTTTCAGAAGGCTCATTCATTCAGAAAGATGAAGAAACCAAAGTCTAGCTTCTCAGGAATCAACTAGAGAAAAGCAGACAACTACTATTAAGTGTAACAAAGACTGTAGCAAGGGAAGTTCAGGATGTCATGAGAGGCTAGCAGCTGCATACCAAAAACACTCTGGAGGCCAGCAGAAGAGGTTATGGAAGATTCTCAGAACTGCCTCCTGAGGGTAGACTTGAGGACAAACAGCAATCACTGAGACAAAAGGCTGGTGAACTTTATTCCAGGTAGTAGGAAGAGCACATATTAATACCCACCAGACATGGAGGAAATAAAAAAAATTCAGGGGCTAAGTGTAATATGTGAGATTGAGGGAGATTCTAAGATCAAGGGGAAAACTCTGAAGAGCCTGAAACAGAAATTAAAAGATTGCAGTTTTGGAAAGACTGCTCTAGTTATTCCACAGAGAATAAACTGGGGTGGGGTATAAACCTGACAGCAGAAGACCCAAATCGAAGACTGCAGGACTAACGGAGGAGACAGGTAACGATGGTGTCAGTTGGCAAAACGGGAGCAGCACCTAAGTAGAGGTAGCTGAGCTCTTAAGGGAGTAGATAAATTCACAGGGAAAGTAAGGACAGAATAAGCCAAAGAAGCCTTTCTAAGTAGTAGTTCGAATGTGGATGCTAATTATGCAAACTTAATAGCATCACTAGAAGGCACATACAAATCTGTAAAATGCATGCAATAAATTTGAGAAAATGGTAGAAAGCAAAAAGAAAAAGTAAAAATTAAGAACAAAGGATGATTAGAACAAGCATACAATCCTAAGAGCCCAGAGGTTTTTCCTCTAGAACAAAGGGCAGTAGGTATCATGTTTAGCATCTAAACATTCTATACCAAATACTATCTTCTGATGCAAAGCAATTAAAATCATGTGGGCTAAGACTAAATTTAATGAATGGTTAGCACACAGTGCCAACTTTACACCTCAATTACCAAATGGCAAAGTAATGCTAAAAGTTAATTTTCTAAATGCTAGGATAATTAGCAGAATGTAATGTAGGTTTTGAAAAAAAATCAAACAGACCCA